AAGACTAGCATGTGGAACTCTTGGGAAGTCTGAGTATAAAACCTAAGGCTAAAGCTTATATTTATTGCTGACTTAAAAATAAAAGTCCTTATTGATGCATCTAAGGAAGTATAAATAATTTTGGACATAATTATATACTTGCTTCTCTTGTGAGCTTTAAAAGACTTGGTTAAATGATTTACTGGAGTAGTAAAAACCCAAGGATTGAGGAAATCTAAACATTCTAGTTTGGAGGCACCAAACTGTTTAGATATTTGAACATACCACAACTTATTTGTTGAGGGGTAAGAGTTGAAGAAGATGGGGGTGGGACACTTGGGAGCTTCCAAATGTTTTTGTTTATCTTTTAAAGTATTCAACATAAAAATAACTTTTTTATCCTTATAATTAAAATAGAAACGAACAAAAGGAAGTCACTATGACTTTAGGTAGTAACTAGTTTGGGTTGCTTTGATGGTGTGTTTTATTCACACAGATTGCTTTGTTAAGGGGAACAGAGGATTGACAACTAGAGCAGACAAGACCTTCAGAGATTCTAAGTTAGAATTTCTAAGTGTTATTCAGCTATTTTATTTCGAAGGAAGGCAGTGCTTTGGGGTTCCCCTAGAATCTCCATCATTTATCCTAATGTGGCATTTTTTTTTTTCACGTTGAAAAGATGTGTATTTGGTTGGCCTTATTCCTCACTTTCTTTTTGATGTTCTGTCTGCTTTAGGAATTTGAAGTGATTGCCCAAATAAAGCTCCTTCAGTCTGCCTGCAACAGCTACTGCATGACCCCAGACCAGAAGTTCATCCAGTGGTTCCAGAGGCAGCGGCTCCTGACAGAGGAAGAGAGGTAGGCAGACCTACTGCCCACCAAGGTGGAGCTGTGGTGCTGGTGAGGGGAATACCACACTCAGTTCCTCACGTGGCTATTTACTTAACAGCTGTTTGGTGAGCAGCTGCTCTAGACCAGTGATGGCGAACCTTTTGAGCTCGGCGTGTCAGCATTTTGAAAAACCCTCACTTAACTCTGGTGCCGTGTCACATATAGAAATTTTTTGATATTTGCAACCATAGTAAAACAAAGACTTATATTTTTGATATTTATTTTACATATTTAAATGCCATTTAACACAGAAAAATCAACCAAAAAATGAGTTGGCATGTCACCTCTGACACGTGTGTCATAGGTTCGCCATCACTGCTCTAGACGCTCGGCTTTCAAAGGATACTGATGTAGCAGGAAAAGCTGGATTGATGACATCGGAAGATGCGCTTTCAGATTCTTGCTCTACCATTGATTATCTCTGTAACCTTGAACAAGTCACTCATTCTTCCTGATAATCAGGATGCTCTTCTATAACAGCCGTGGGCAAACTACGGCCCGCGGGCCGGATCCAGCCCGTTTGAAATGAATAAAACTAAAAAAAAAAAAAGACCTTATCCTTTTATGTAATGAAGTTTACTTTGAATTTATATTAGTTCACACAAACACTCCATCCATGCTTTTGTTCCGGCCCTCCAGTCCAGTTTAAGAACCCATTGTGGCCCTCGAATCAAAAAGTTTGCCCACCCCTGTTCTATAAGATGTTTGTTTGTGAGGATTAAATGAAATCATATTTGGGGAAAACATTGCTAAAGTGCTTACATCACCACCACCACCACCGATCTTCACCATGTGTGTCACTGTTGTTAATTGGTACCAGCTTTCAGTCAGGGAGCGGAGGCGGCTCATGAAGAATTGAAATAAAATGCTGCAGGATCTCCAGGCAGCAGCAGTTCATTTGGCCAGGGGTGGGGGGAACAGGGAAGATGGCCATGAAGTGTTACCATGTGTGCGGGTCTGGGAAGGAGAGCGGGTTGCACCTGGAGATCTAGAGAAGAACATTCCAGCAGAGAAGAATATGAGTGAAGGCTCGGTGGCCTGCCATGCTTGGTGTTTGGAGGGACAGTGAAAATTCTGGTGTGGCTGGGACACAAGGGACGGGTTTCGGAGTTGTGGTTGGGGAGCATGGAAATGTACGTTAACTCCAGTGTCTTGAATGTTGGCCCCTCAGTGGAGTCGTCTTTACCGTGTAGCCCAGAGGATTAGAGTCTGCAGTCCCCACAGCCCACTGCATGCTTTTACGTTTTTAAATGGTTGGGGTGCGGGGGGGAGGAGAGACAAAGGATGTGACATGGGCAGTTATTTGAAATTCAGATTTTATCCATAAATGAAGTTTCATTGGAACTCAGCCCAATCATTCACATCATATTTATGGTTGCTTTCATGCTTTAAAGGCAGAGTTGAGTAGTTGCCAGAGAGACCAGGCAGCCTGCAAAGCCTGGTCCTTTACAGAAAGTACACACACACACACACACACACACACACAGTAATAGGAGGAAGACAGAGAGAGATGGTTCTTCCCTGGACTTAGCAGTGGGAGGAGAATGATCAGGAAACAGAATGGAGTCAGCCTTTGATGCTGCTACAAAGCACACATCCACGTATTTGAGGCACGTGGAACTGGCCGGCCTCAGACTATATGCCAACGGGGGATGTCGGGAGGAGGCACATGTGTAAATTTGTAAGATCTGGTCATTGAGTCAGTGCCCTCTGACACGTGTGATGGAACAACATGGTACATATCTTTATGTTGAGTAATCAGAACCTTCTGCGAAAATAAAACCAGCAAACCACGTGAATTCCAACCTCTTTAATTGCTAAGCCCTGACCTCGCGCTCCCTTCTCTTCCCCAGCTACGCCCTGTCCTGTGAGGTGGAAGCAGCTCCGGACGCCAGCGCCACCTCGCCCAAGCCTCGGAAGCGCATGGTGAAGAGGCTCAGCCTGTGAGTGTCACGCAGGGTCCGGGAGGCCCTCCCGTCAGAAGAGGGGAGAGGAAGGGTATTCAACACAGACGCCCTGAGCCAGGGCAAAAGTGAGGGACCGTTCACTGACTTGTTAAATAGCTGACTTCTGTCATGAACTCACTGTGTACATTTTCTAAATCCATTCATTCTTCTCTGTTCTGCCTGGTACGAACCACCCTCATCTCCTACCTGGAACACCAGCAACACCTTTCCCAGCTTCTGCCCCACCTGGCCCCAGCAATCCAGAGTCTGGAGTCCCTTAAAGTGTACACCAGGTTCTATCATTTCCTTGCTTAAAACCTCCAGGGTTTTCTTTTAAGGTAGCACTTGAACTCCTTATCCTAGTTCACTAGGTCCTGCACGATCTTTCCCCAACCTTCTTGACCACCTTCCTCTAATCCGATGCTCCACGGAGCTCACCGTCTTCCAGCCCCCTTCCGCCTCACCGGGCTTGGCAGTAGCTGTTCCTTCGGCCCGGCGTGCTCTTTCTCTGCGTTAATATTGGCAAACGTGTTACCTCCTGAGAGAGCACCCTCTCTAACGTTGCACTGGATGTTCCTTCCAGGGGAATGTGAGCCACCTGAAGCAGGAGCCTGTCCATCATACTCAGGGTGGCATGCGCAGCTCAGAGCCAGGCACAGGAGAGGCCCTCCGTGACTCACTTCCTACCCGTCTCCTTTTCAGTAAAATCCGGAGTCTGACAGCCCTCGGGACTCTTGAGGGTCTGCAGCATCTCCCCAGCCCGCCCAGCTGTCCCACACCTCTGTCCTCATCTCTCCCGCTCGCTCTACTCCTCTGCGCCAGACACCCAGACCTCCCTCTCTTGTGAGGACGTACCTGTGTCTGATCTTTTGAGTGACACATCTGCTTCGGCCAGGGCCAAGCCAGAACAGCATTTGTAACATTGGACAGTGTTTTCGTGGCGGAGTGACCTGACACATCCCAGCTCTCCCAGTGACTTAACCGTGTAAATTTCTGTTCGCGAGTTTTTGGTACTTCCTGGCAGTCTCTCCACTGGCCTCTGTGAGTCACATTGGTAGGGACGGCGCATGGACTTGTTATTGTCTTCTTCCCAGTGTGACATATGCAGGCCCTGATGGGGCGTGGATGGCGTGATCTCCGGCTATCAGAAGCCGCCCAGGCTTCTTTCTACCTGATACCAGGTGATAAGAGGCTTTTGAGGATTAGGTTGGGACATGTGATTTTATAGAAAGCATTTTTAAGGTAATCCTGTTGTCTTGCCAAACCTCTCTCCTGGTTGGATGTCTACCCTAGCCCTCCTAAATGCTAGATTTTTGAGCGTTTAGATTCACCTCTTGGAATTTTCCAGTCTCTCGCTGTTTTCATGGCTGCAGCCATGGGGGAGAATGAGTTCTCTTCCGAGATAACGCAAAGGCCTGACCAGGCCTTGTCAGCTGGTAAGATGGACACCTGCACAAGGAATCAGGCTCCTTGGTAGGTGAGGTGAGGAATGCAGGGCCTCTTGGTCCCCTCTGCTGCACAAGGAATTGGGGCTTTCAGCACAGGTAGATCATCCTAAGCGCTGCATCCTTTGCCCACTTGCTGTCTTCCCTGTCCTCGGTAGCTGCCACTGCATACTCACTTTCTATACCTGCTTCTCTCACATTCCTTCCAGCCCAAGTGTGCGTTCTTACTGTGCCGGGTGTGCTAGCGTCCCCGGGTCCTATCTCTGCAAAACACTGGCAAGAATCTCTGTGCGGACCCGTGTGAAGTCCAGGGGAGGCAGGACTGTCGGGCCAGAGCCCTGTGGGGGGAGCTCTCTACAGCCCTCTCACTGGTGGGATCTTGCCAAGATGCTCGGGTGTAATCCTTGGTAATTGTCTTTGACTTTGCATGTTTATTATGAATAAAAGAGGTCACATGCTCCCAACTTATTTCTTATACATATTAGGGTGTTTGCATGTGTTTTCAAAAGATTTTATGACCTTAGCACTTATACAAAGGTGGAAAATGTCCTTTTTGCTGTCCCTACATTTAATGGTTCACTCATTCAAAGAGGTTGGAGAGTCTTTTGGAGCCTTGGGGGGAGGGGTACCTTGTTTGAAGGCCGGAGATGCCAGGTATTGAGGTAGAATAAACCTTTACAAATGGAATGTTCTCATCAAGTTGCACAGCTGGAAGAACCTTTGGTAGGATGCTTTCTTGTATCTATTTTATAATTTTGTCTTGTGAGCTCATTTTTATCAGAGAATTCTCTGCAGCTTGGGTTGAAGGTTTATTTCTCCAGAAATATGTACATGTATGTATATATTTAAAATTCTAGTTTCTTCAGGAGTATTACTGTCTGGAGAGTTCCTAGAGTGCTTAGGTAGCAACTCTAAGATCACATATGATTTCTGGAGAAACGTTTTTCTTTTCTTTTTCTTTTTCTTGATTTCAGAGAGGAAGGGAGAGAGATAGATAGTCAGAAACATCGATGAGAGAGAAACATCGATCAGCTGCCTCCTGCACATCTCCTACTGGGGATATGCCCGCAACCAAGGTACATGCCCTTGACCGGAATTGAACCTGGGACCTTTCAGTCCGCAGGCCAACGCTCCATCCACTGAGCCAAACCGGTTTCGGCCAGACACTTTTCTTTCACCCAAGCTCAGGCAGAGACAGAAGCTGCCCCGCTGTCCTCCTGCGCCAACAGGAAGATGTTCTAGCCCATCTTTTCCTGAGGATGCAGCCCTTTGAGGGTCCTGTCTGTGTGGAAGGGTCTCAGTTCCCACTCCCTGCCTCACCTCTGGGGCTGTGTGTGTGCTAAACGCGTGCCCCTCGTTTACCGAGGCTGGCACCTCCCACTCCTCACCCAGAGCAGCCGCAAGACCAGCTCACGTGCTCTGGCTTCAATTCCCTTCCTCTCTGGCCTTGAGGGATTTTTCCCTACTATCTCGCATGCCTAACTTTAAAAAGGGTTTTTAATGTTTCTTATCGAGTTGTTTTATAGTGAAGGGATTTAGATATTACAGTTCGTCAACTTGTAGGAAACAGAATCTGCCTCCTTGGTTTTTTGTCTACTCAGGGCCAGTCTTTTCCACCCACACAGAGTTTGTCTTATGATGGGATTTTGATTCTGTTAAAAAAAAAACACACACACAATGAAGAGCCCTTGACCTAGAAAGACCTCAGATTAACATGGCCCTGGGTCCAGCTAAGCAATCTGTGTGTTCTTTGAGGTTGGAAATAATCTACTGGAAGAAGATATTTACTATGATCTGTTAGAAACCTTGTAGCAAATGTTTTCCTAACATAATAAGGACAGAGCACACAAGATGGAGAAACCATCAAGGCTTTAACACAAAAATATTTGCTCGATCACGGATTCCAGCTTCGTAAGAGCCAAACGCCTGGCATTGTGTTTTCTGCAGATTGTTTCTGGGGTCGGACATTATCACCAGTAGCACTCCCAGCAAAGAGCAGCCCAAGTCCACGGCCAGCGGGAGCTCTGGCGAAAGCATGGACTCCGTGAGTGTGTCCTCCTGTGAGTCCAACCACTCCGAGGCCGAGGAGGGCTCCATCACTCCCTTGGACACACCGGATGAGCCGCAAAAAAAGGTACAGCGTAATCCCGCCCCCCAATTCCTAACTCCGGCACCCGCCCTAGTGTTTGCCACATGGGGAATGTCTGTTTTCAGGTTTATCACTCCACAGTATTTGGAAAGTCACGTTTTTAATAGGTGTCAAAACTGGAGTTGTAGCTGGGGACTCGTTCCTTACAGACACAGGTCCAAAAGCAAGGAGCTGGTCAGTGTATGTCTCTAGCCTTTGAAATATTGTCCCGTACCCACACCCAGAGGCAGCCGAAGGATTGTAGCCTGTAACCCGGGCTGCACTTTATTGAGGAGATGTAGGATTTTCTAGAAGGAGCAAAAAGTCCAGAGACAGAGGTCTGTCAGCTTCTTGATGTCATACCTGGTCTCAGCCAGCCTGTTACCACAATAATGTCAAATAGCAAAGCACTTCACAACCCGGTGCTTAGAACAACAGCCGTTTATTCTCTGTCATGCACAGCAGGCTGGCTGCCGGGGGTTGGGCTTGGCCCTAGGCCATGGGTTTGGTCCAGGTCTGCTCTGTCCGCCTTCCATTCTTTTTGGAGTAATGGCCTAAGACAGATGGATAAGCGGGCAGTCCCAGCCCCGTAAGTACACAGTGAGCCTTCACCTGGATCATATCTACCTTTTTATTGGCCAGAGCAAATCATGTGGCCAAATCCCACGTAAGTAAACGAGGCAGGGAACTATATTCCACTTCTAGTGGGAGGAACTGAGGAGTCACAGAGCAAAGGGCATGGATGCAGAGCAGGGTAAGGAATTGGTAACAGTGATACCGTCTACCATGCTCCCCACAAAAGGAAGGTGATGAGAGGTGATAAAAAATTCCCAGAGAGGATTTCATTTCCATGTTGCATAAATAAATGAAAACCAACGATCCATCGTAATCTTACACAGATCTGCTTCAGTTGTTGGTCATTGAGCTAGAAAGAAAGGCATCCACTTCGATGTGACTAGAATTTGCACCATTTTGGTAGGTTTAGGGCCAGGAACTCTGGCTATGTAAGTGACTTCTGGCCCTTGGGTTATGCTTAGGCCAGCGAGGTGGGGGGTCACTAACAGTCCTTCATTTTGTGTGCAAAGGGGTCTGTGTGCTCTTCCACATCGTGTTCCAAGCAGCAGCAGTGACCCGGGACCCTCAGGTGCCCTTGTCACAAAGTGGCCAGTGCAAGGGGACACCATGCTCTGGGCCCGTCACCGAGATGACTCGGTGCTGCCCCAGCTGGTTTCTCACCTCTCTGTTTTGGAATCCAGAGAACATTGTCCAAATTGTGAGGAAAGTCTCTCCAAACACCTGCAGCTATCTCTCAGGCACTTTTCCTAAGCCAGGGGTGTGATCCATCTCCATGACCTTGACCTGCAGCATTGTGTCTGTCCGTCTGGAGTGAAGTCTCATTCACCTTCGGACAGGCCTTTATGGTTTGTAGGCCCCTTTTCACATGATGGACATTGTGCAGAAGTGACAACTGAGGTATCGCCCACGTCTTTGTGGGATTTCTGCCCGGTCAGGAGGGAGACGGAACCTCATTTGCACCTGTTGCTGCTATGGACATGCGCGTAGGTCCAGGTCATCCCTTCTCAAACGCCACCGAAGCCCCGTGTGTCCTTTGCTCGCCCCTGCTTCATTCCTTTTAGTCTCCCTGATCACCCCGGTGCTTCAATTTCTTGCACGAGTCAGACATTTTTATTCTTTGGATGAACCTGGCTCGGGTCATGAATTTCTGTAGGTTTAAAAATGAGTCATTGAATTGGATGCAAGTAGTTGCTAGGCTTCAGCATCCCTGGAAGCTAACGGGAAAGGCCTCCGTTGTCCTGCTCAATTCGGAGCTGCCCCAGTGACCTCCACAGCCCCTCCTGCTCCGCGATGCTGCAGCCTCCACGCTGGCACTCTGCCTTCCCCACTGGCGTTTTAGTGAAATGTAATCCCCTCCCGTCTTCACTTCCTTGATCACAGTTTCCAAACATTTATTCTCACACTTGCCCCTCAGAGTAAATCCTCAGTAAGAAGAGGGGGCTCCTCAGGAGGTCTGTTTATAGCTGCTGTCACCCAGCTTTGCCTCCCAGGCTTCACCTGAATTGTAAATGTCATTGAGATCATGGAAAATCTAACAAAGGACAGGAGATTTATCTGAAGGAAAAAGAAGGTGATGAAACTGAACCAGTAACTGGAAAATGGGCTCTCTCGGCTCCGGTGAGGTACACCTGCAGGCAGGATGAGCCTATTGACTACCCACCATCCGCCAACCCTCACACCGAGCCCCTGGTTCATTCACTAGGGAGCATAAGGAAAAAATGTAACTGAACCATATTATGATGGAGCCACAGTTAGATACCTGCATTTCAGAGCTGAAACATCAGCTTGCTGGGCTCTAATTAAACTGACCATGCAGAATTTAACGTATGTTTATGCCATAGGAGGAAGTCCATGGGAAATACAATGGAGTAGACTCCATTTTACTTGGAAACCAGGTAATCAGAAAACTAAGTTCCTGGAGCTTTGTTTCCATGGAAAGGTAGACAGGTATGAAATAAATTAATGTCACTTAGTTTTTACAGGACTTCCAGGTTATTTGATAGGATTGATTGGCTTAACTCATTCTGAGAGATTACTTGTAGTTTTGTACAATACAAGTTGATATTTAAAATGATTCAAAGTAATGACTTTTTGGAACACCACCTTGTGAATTTGGGGCATCCTATTTTTTTGGTAATTGGTATTGCACACAGGAAAATGGTGTCATTAATCAGAAAAGCTCATGAACATAGCACCTCACTCCTTAATTATTCTTGATATGCAACATGGAAATGTGTATAGTTGGTTCTAGAAGCAAATGTGGAAAGTGGTGAGCCGCTCACGGGCTGTGTGCCCTCGGGTAAGTCCCATGATCTCTGACTCATCACTACAGTGCGTTTTGTTCACAAGACATGTGCAAGCTCATTCCAGCCTCACATGATAACTGTCACCGAGGCGATGGGTACTATGTTCAGTCACTGCGCCATCACCAGCTGCAGACTGGGCCCTGGCTATGCGATGGCTACGCCGTGGCTCTGTGAGCCTAACCTGACCACAGGTGCCAGGGAACTTGGGAACGTGTCCAGGTGGTACTATCACCAGTTTTCTCTCTGGCGTCAGGCTCCTCAGCAGTAGAAAAGGAACGGGCCTGGTGACCTCCAGAGGCCTTTTTAGGACTAATAGTTCATGTAGGGCAGTAAAATGTACTCCTCCTCTTAGAATCTTCTAAAAATATGAACATTTCTCTCCTGCTACGCAATCTGATGGCGAAGTGGAGTCAGGATGGAAGTGTGTAAAAACCTTTTCTCTGCCCTGTCAGGTTTTCCGACTTCCTGTGGGAGCCCCTATTGCCTCCAGCTTCTGGTATCTGCTGCCACCTGCTGGTTAACGTCCTTAAGAGCAGCTGCTAAGGGGGAATGAGAGCGCCCCCTGGCCTCACACAGATGCAGAGCGATCAGGTCAAGTACTGAGTCACTGACAGGCATCTGCCCAGGAGGTGCTCACAGCAGAGACAAGACACACGTGTGCTGTGGGCTGTGTGGAGGAAAGAGCGGAAATGTACTAGTCTCAACAACTGGGCTCTGAGAATTGTGAAGCGCACTGTCGGCCAAGATTCTAAGGCTCCATTTACTTTGGGCTGTGTTTACTCTTCCAGCTCTCCGAGTCGTCCTCGTCGTGCTCCTCCATCCATTCCATGGACACAAATTCCTCAGGGATGTCGTCCTTAATCAACCCCCTCTCCTCCCCTCCGACCTGCAACAACAACCCCAAGATCCACAAGCGCTCCGTCTCCGTGACCTCCATTACCTCGACTGTGCTGCCTCCCGTTTACAACCAGCAGAACGAAGACACCTGCATAATCCGCATCAGCGTAGAGGACAACAATGGCAACATGTACAAGAGCATCATGGTGAGGTGCCCAGGCCCACACCCCAAAATATGTGCCAGTAGCATACACATACATGTTCACAGAAAATGAGTATGTGCCAAAGGATCAGTTCCTAGACCTCCCTGGGCAGACACCAGTGATGCATATCTATAATAATAAAAGGGTAATATGCTAATTAGACTGGACATCCTTCCAGACGAAGCTAGGGCTGTGAGGGAAGCCCGGGTCCCTGGTGTCTGCCAGTGGCTAGAGGGAAGCCCGGGTCCCGGGTGCCAGAGGGAAGCTGGTGCCGGCAGCCGGGGGAAGGAAGGCCTACTCTTGCATGACTTTTGTGTATCAGGCTTCTAGTATCTAAATATCTACTTTCTCACAGTGCGTATAGGATGATTTTTACATCTTAAAATTTGCTAAGGTTTATTCCCCGGGTCAGTGCCTTCCTTTCCAGAAATGTCTACTTGGATGCCAGGGAGACCGCTGCTGCACACCTTCTTGGGAGTCTTCCTGGGGGTTCCATGTCTGGGTGCTAATTGAGTGGCTGTGCAGTCTTAGCAATGTCCTCCATGGCGGTGAATTTTTCTTTCAGTTATTTGGAATTAAACTTAGTAAAGTGGATGATCAAGCTGGAAACACAGTGAGTCCACGAGAAACTGTTTAAGATAAATGAGACTGACCTTCTTGAGGCTCTCATATAGACTGTATATTTTTGAGCATAGTCCCAAAAGCACTTTGAATGATGGCAGTCTTTTTGGAACACAGAGCCTCTCCTTGTGTGTATGTGTGTCAGGTCTGGTGTGTTTATCACAAGAATAGACTCTAGTTTATAGGAAATATCGTAGATGGAAAAGCAGGTCTCCTTTGCTATGAAATCCCTTAATACATCCTATATCTTAGCTCCATCACTTGTCTTCTCTGAGGCCATTTTGAGTGCTCACAAGCTCAGCTCTGAATATAACAAGGGATACGGAGCCAATTATCTTTTAACATTCTAAAGAAAAGCTTTACTAAGGCATTCATTGAATCAACAGTATTTATTGAACTTGGTTGTGTACCAGTCGTTGGACAAGTATTTGAGGATATGGAGATGAATGAGACATTTTTGTCTTTGAGGAACTTACAATCAAATGGGAGATAGTAAAACATTATTCAAAATGTTTTAACCATTCTAAGAGAGATGAGATTAGATCATAAAAGGCCCCAGGCCCACACGAAGGAGTTTGTGATAGTCCCACAGGCAATAGGGTCTTATTTTTTTAAAAATATATTTTATTGATTCTTTACAGAGAGGAAGAGAGAGGGACAGAGAGGTAGAAACATCAGTGAGAGAGAAACATTGACCAGCTGCCTCCTGCACACCTCCCACTGGAGATGTGCCTGCAACCAAGGTACATGCCCTTGACTAGAATCGTACCTGGGACCCTTTAGTCCGTAGGCTCTATCCACTGAGCCAAACCTGTTAGGGCAATAGGGTCTTATTGAAGGCTCTTAAGTCACAATCAGATTTATTCATTAAAAAAGTAACTGGGATTGTAGAGTCTTGATGCTGGGTGCAGGGGCGGGACCGAGGTGGGGAAGCAAGTTTGGAAGCTGCCATCATATTCCATGTGGGAGACGATGAGGGCTTGGATGATGGTCATGTGATTGGAGACGATTTGAATTTTAAAAGTATTTTTATGAGGTAGAGTTGTAGCATCCATTCATTCATTTCTCAGCTTTTGGTTACTGTTGTGGGAATGGGGAAGAGGGAGGACTCAGGCTCCCCAGGCAGCTTGGTGACTGGTGGTCCTGTCAAGTGAGGAATGAACTACTGGAGGAGGAGGTTTGGGAGCATTGAAATTGGAGGTACTGGTAGGCTATCCAGATGGCACTGTCTAGTAGTTGGTCAGAGATACGGGTTGGTACTGGAGTCAAATACTGGGAGCCATGCAGCCCTGCTGGGTGGATATGTCATGGGAGAGAGAGTGTAGCCTGAGACAGAACTCTTAATAATAAGGGAAGGGCTGGTCCAGGAGCCTTGTTGGGAAGGTAGGAGAACTGCCAGGAAGCCCCGGTCATCATGTTATTGTGTTTTCAGCAGCTTATTCACATGCCTACCAGAGAAGTAAGTTTCCCCTCAGCAAATTTAGGGTGTCTCTGAACTAAAAAGAACTAAGAAGTGATACATACAACACTGTGAATGAATCTCTAAAACATCATTTTGAGCCAAAGAAACAGACACAGATTGCATCCTCCAGGAGTCTGTTCTTTCACAAACAGGCTACACAACCTGTGGTGTTAGAAAACTAACTCAGAGAAGGGGCACAGGGAATTGTTTAAGTCCCTATTTCAGGTGCATGGAGGTGATACCCAGGCATCATTGCACATGGCTTCATTCAGTGGAGTAGCCACTAGCTATGGGTAGAAATTAAACATTTGAAATGGGAATAGTATAAAATGGACACCAGATTAAAAATATACATATATATATTTATGTACATATATATTATTGATTTTAGAGAGGAAGGGAGTGAGAGAGAGAGACAGAAACATCAATGATGAGAGAGAATCATTGACCAGATGCCTCCTGCATGCCCCCTACTGGGAATCGAACCTGCAACCTGGGTATGTGCCCTCACCAGGAATTGAACCGTGACCTCCTGGTTCATAGGTCAGTGCTCAACCGCTAAGCTACACTGGTCAGGCTAGACACCAGATTTTGAAGACTTAGTACAAAAACAGAATGTAAACTATCTCATTAACAATTTTTATATTGATTATATGCTAAAATAATACTTTGAGTGTATTGGATTAAATAATATATTATTTAAGTGAATTTTTCTTTTAAGCCACTTTTTAAAATGGGGCTCCTAGATATTTAAAATTACAAATGTGACTTATTATGTTTAACTACTGGATGGTGCTGGTTCAGTACATCGGCATGCGGCTGCATGACTGAGCTGTTAATACTAATTGTGATCCTCCGTTTCCCTCCGTAGTTTTTATGGTACAAAGTATTAATCACTCAAGGAAAGCCCTTGCCTATCCCATCTTCTTTCGGACTCACCTGGGGAAGATTAAGGTGAAGAAGATAACGGTAGCTTGGCTGTAGGTTTCAAGGTGACAACCGTCTCTGTCCAACATGACATCCTCATGTGGTGTCCTCTCTCCTTGGGCTTCATGCTCCTCCTCCACTGGGACTTAGCTGTGGGAGCATTTCCTTCAGACCATCCAACGGCATATTTTTCTCCTGTAAGCTTCTGTGTTCACTTACTTCTCCTTGGAAATGGAGATGCCAGATGTTTTGGTAACGGACAACTGTGCAGGGTCTCTGTCACCTACAAGGACCCCGTTGTAGGGCATGTTGTTTATTGAGTCGCAGATGCCAGCTGCTGCCCTCACTAGAGGGAGACATCTGGGCCCTGCCGTCCTTGGGCTCACAGTGACACCGTTTTCTGGAGGACTTTAGACGTCGTTGTTAGTTTTGCTTTTGTGGTTGTCTCTCCTCTTACCTCCTGGTGAGAACAGCTTTTATTTTTAAGTAAGAATAATTTGTGTTTCCATTTGATTTCTGTCATATTTAAAGAAATCACTCAAGGGATGGTACATGAGTCAGCCCTCGGTGTGCAGACAGGCCGTTTCTGAGCACCCTGATGGGCAGAGATAAAGGGGACAGTCAGAATTGGTGGTAGGGGGAAACTTTACTTACACTTAAACAAGTGCTAGATTTATTATTTTTAAACATTTAGAAACTGACTTTTATTGGAATATGATTTACAAACAATTATAATCACAGATCTTGTGTTCAGTTCTTTGAATTGTGAGAACTCTCTATTCTATTCTCTATTTCTGACTGTGTCTGTGTCTGTGTCCATGTCAGTGTCCATGTCTATGACTATGTGTGTGACCACCACCCCAAGTCTAGATAAAGAATCTTTTTTCATCCTTTCAGAAATTCCTTTGTGCCCTTTCCTGTCAATCCCCTCTTAACCTGGTTAAAGTTAAGGTTAATTGAAGTTAGTTTTCTAACACCACAGGCTAGTTGACTCCTGCAGCATGTAATCTGCTGAGTCTGGTTACTTTGGCTCAACGTGATGTAGAGATTCATCCCCCGTGTTGCCTTAGTGTTCTTTTGGGAACATATGATCATTTCTTTATCCATTCCCTAACGTCCTGTTGAAGGAGATTCAGGTTGATTCTAGTTTTTAGCTATTACGAGTAAATCTGCTATGAACGTTTGTGTACGTGTCCTCTTGTGGACATATGTTTTCATTTCTCTTGGTGGTACCTGGGAGTAGGATTGCTGGGTCATAGGGCCACTGTGCTTTTTGAAATGGTCGGTGTGCAGAACAGGCCATTTCTGCCCAGAGGTTGTAACCAGTGCCGTAGCAGCAGCTCAGCAGATAAGGATCATTTTGGTGGAACCTCAACCATTGTGAGGGAGATAAGCAAGGCATGCGTTCTCTCTGTTAATAGGGGGGACACTGTGACTCAGGGAGGAGGTGACTGAGAATAGATGGCCCATCATCCCTTGTCTACTAACGCTGGAGCCAGGCTGAGAGCCCAGGAGTTCTGCCTCTTGGTCCTGTTCTCACTCCCCTGGGCCGTTTCTCCTGGAAAGGACAA